AGGTAGGTGCATATAGCACACACGTGGGAGTGTGAAGATGAATGTATCATTTCCCAGAAATCTGTCTGCTCATACAGGTGCTGTGTGAATCATGTGTGTGTCTCATCCCAGAGATGATAGATAACAGTGACATCATCAGCTGAGGAGCAGACGACAACACACCACACGAGGCTCCCAGAATCCTCCATTCTGACGGTTCTACAACCCCTTGACACAGTTTTAAACCATGTCAGAAATATCACTTAAACTTCACTCAAAGTCAGTCCATCAGTACTTCATATTCAACTTAATGAAGAGGTAAACAAGGGCAGTTACCACTGCTTAAGTCTGACAGATCAACATATATAATCATTGTAATTATGCGGCTCTGGTCAGGCCAGTCAGCAGATTCAGCTTATTGTCAAGCTCTTTTTCATTTTCTAAAATGAGCAGCTGACTCATGAGTAGCACTTTACACAGCTGAGGTGTGAAACCAGAATATTTACAATAACCCACTTAAAGCAGGTTAGAATAGTTCACACCAGAATGAAAATTCTGTCATCATTCTCCCACCCTCATCTCATACCAAACCTGTATGACATTATTTCTGTTATGGAACACAGAAAAATACATTTTGAAAAATGTCTTCTGGCTCTGGTCGTTTCTGCTCTAACTCTCCCTAAACCTTTAAGGCTACAACACCTAAATGCCCCCACAACAACCCAGAAAAACGTACCAACCATCTAGAAACCAACTGCCAACCAACCACATTTTTTTCCAGCTTTCAAGTCTCTCTTCAAACGACCCACGTATTTAAACTGGGTCTAGGCCTAAATGACCTTCACAAGCCTTTGTAAAGCAATGACAAATCTTTCTTTTCTAGTAATTTCTGCTTTTGTTTGGTGATGCCAATGGCACAGAAATGACACATTCTACAATTTGCCTTAACCTATTCAGAGATATGCTTTTTATATTTACATGTGCTGCCTCCTAGTGGTAAAAAAAAGACATGTGCAACTTGACGGCTCAATAAAGAAAAAGAAAAATAGTTGAATTTTCCCTGAATAATAATAATAATGATGACTGGCCATTGATCTAGGTTGTCTCTCTGCCTATGGTCTGTGTCACTGGGATAAGCTACAAGCTAAATTCTATTTTTACAATTGTTCGAAAGCAGATTAAAGTAAACAGTCTTATGTACACCTTTCCGAATGGTTATGAAAACTGGATTTCACAAAGCAAGCGTTGTAATGCATGTTACCATGAGGCAGAATTTGTCATTTGTATTTTAAATCAGGGGGTGATGTATTGGAATGCTGCAGAACTAATGTCCATAGAGATCAGCAATTGGCCAGAGCACATGGCAGCCACAGAGCAGATGCTCTAGAGCAGACAGTATGACAGATTTAGCTTCAGGAAATATCACTGGCAGAAGGTTGCTGCTAGCTTTGAAGCTCCAACTTAGACTATTGACATTTTGACAGGAAAATTCTATATCATTTTATACATGGATCACACATACACTTGCAAAACAGCACTCCCATGTTAAAAGAGTAATTCACACCAATCTTTCAAGCTTTACAAAAAGAACACAAAAGCACAGTGAAATAGTCCATACGATTAGTGCACGATACTCTTCTGAAGTCATCCCATACAATAGTTTTGGGTGAGAAATGGTGTCCTCCCTTTTAAAGCTTAAAAGCTATAGCCTATTTTAACTGCATGAAAAAGAGTGACCATCATTTTCTGTGTTTCAGTGTTATTTTAGTTTCATTTATATGCTATCATAGTTTTAATATTTTTTGTTTTCAGGTTAATTTAGTAGTTTTGTTATTTTTGGCTTTCGTTCTTATTATATTGTTCAAGTCCCCCTGCAGTCAATAATCGTATCCGGGTCATTCTACGGAAATGTCCATTTTTCTGTCCCTATAGCCTTTACAGAAATATTACACTTAAAAAAACACTTTAGAATTACAATTTCTTTACATTTTAAAATAAAACAATATGTTATTTGAACAATTACACCTTCTTGAGCCATCAAGTGGCAATATTTTATTTTTTATTAATTATATAGAATTCCAAACACCACAGAAGTGCTCGTCCCCACAGTCATGTACAGAGGGAAAATGCATTATTTTGAGGTCAATAACAGGTTTTTACACCATTTAAAATACAATAATGTATACATAACTATCTAATATATTATGTAAATGACACAAAAAAAACAACTAAATGCAGAATAAATATGATAAAATTTATAATGAAAGTAGTGGTCCCCTGGAGTTGTGTCACTGGTGTTACCGTTAAACCAAAATCTCTTATTTTGAAATAAAAATCACACTGATGACATCACTTGACTTCCTTCTTCCAATTTCCTGAATTTCTATGAAGAAAAGCCCATAATAAATCCTCTGTCTCTTTTCAGTTATCAGAAATATTCTCATTTATCTCATGATTTCATATGAAGCTTTTAGTTGAAGTCACTGGTATGACCTAATTTATTGTTAGGTAATTGTAAAAAAAAATAGAATACAAATGGATTAAACTACTTAATTTAGTTAGTATACCATGATTGACAACATGTGGTTTGATACCTTGCAGCAGCCATTTTGTAAAATGAATTTTTCATGAAAATTGTCACTGGTGTTACTGTCACTGGCGTCACCCTTCTTATGGGTAACACCAGTAACACCAGTGACTCCTATTTATAGATAAACTTTACTCAAAGCTATTCATTTAGATTATATGCCAAATGTAACAATTTAGTCTCATCTACTTAATTATAGTTGAAGAATAATGATATTTGGTCTTATGCATGTCATTGGTGATTCATTGTGTCACTGGTGTTACCGTCTTTTTTTCTGTCACATTAAATACAATGCCATATGTGACATGATAATAATTTTACATCCATTTAATTCTGCAACACTCAAAAGGTAAGATTTAAAGGATTGCATCATTACTAGATTTTAACTGGTTTTCAAATATTTTCATTGTTATAGCAAATACAAGGTTGCGCAAATGAACTAACCTCATTCAAGCACACTTTTAACAAACCTGATTAAAATAAATAAAACAATCACCTTATTTGTTGCATTATTATTATTTTTTGGTAACTCTGACTACATGTGCTGAAAAAAAAATTGAAATAATATTTCATAAAAACATTTAATATTGCCAAAGAAGTAAGGTAACACCAGTGACAAAAAAAGGTACATGCGATCTTTAAATAAATGCAAAAAAATATAAAAAATCATTAAGCTGTAATTTATGCATATTCATAAAGTCAAAGGGTAATCTAATAATGTGGTGTAAGTTTAAATGTTAGAAAAAGAAATACATTTTAAGACATCTTGCCATACCAAAAGTGGACGTTTCTGTAGAATGACCCATCCCTTAAAACTCATCTTTGATAATCAAAATGGCATATTTAAATGCTTTTTCCTGTGAAAACACTTTCTTCATGCCTTAAAATAGCTTAAATGTAACTACACAGTTGCTTCATTTTACCTGGACTCATGAATTTGCACATTAGTCCGAGCCTCCACTCACTCACACCAGCTCGGACTACCTCGGACGACGTGCAACCTAGAAGCTTTGCGTAGTTTCACTACGTGAAATCTCATTGCCCACAGAGAAGGAAATGAATAGTTGAATAAAGTCGTTATTTTTGTTTGTTTTTTTGCGCACAAAAAGTATTCTCGTCGCTTGATAAACTTAAGGTTGAGCCACTGTAGTCACTCGGACAATTTTAACGATGTCTTTCATAACTTTTGGGCCGGTCAGTTTCGATCCCTTAAAGGGGTCATATAATGGTACATGCACTTTTTCAAGTTGATTGTACTGAAATGTGTGTTGGCAGTGCTGGACACAACCATCATGTAATGATAAAAATCCATCCAGTGTTTTTGTTTTAATCTCCTTATATGTTTTCCCCTGCCTCAAATCGAGCCGTTCGACCGTGTGACGTCACACGGTCGGACGCCCCTCCCGCGATTGTTGATTGACAGCCGGGTTTCAACACAGACCCGCCCTCGCTCGTGAGCCAGCTGTCAATCATAGTCTGCGCGGAGTCGGACCGGCGCGGTCATTGTTGATATGCTGGAGCACTGTCTATGAGCAGAATGGCGTCTAAGCGATTGTGGTGTTCTGTTCTTGGGTGTAATAACGAACACAGCAGTCATTTTAATGTTTCTAAATCCGAACCGCTTAAGACGCAGTGGCTGAGTTTTGTTTTCGAAGGGAATATTCCCCACGAGCAACGTCAATGCTCTCATGTTTGCGCGAATCATTTCACACACCAGACTGCTTATAAACGAGGATCAGTATAAAGCTGGTTTTGCTAAGAAGCTGCTCATGAATAAAGGATCGGTACCAGATATTCGTGTTCCTGCTGAACCTCTAGAACAACTGAAGTGAGTGTAACGTTTTATTAACCTTTATATTAATATTTATATCTTTGCAAATCGCTTGCACGCTTCACGATGAATGAGTCTAAGGTTTACACTCAGGGTACATTACGGCATGTTTTCTATGTACGACGTTCTCAATATAATTCATAATCCCACGTTTATAATGAACAACGCGTTATGGTTATTGTGTTACAAATGGTGTACGCATAGAACAGAGAGGCGGGGTGAGCAAAGCTCATGATCATTTAAAGTCATATGCACTGAAACGGCGTGCTGAAAACAGAGCTGTTTTTGACCAGGTAAAATAACTGTTTTCTTACAATACTAATGAGAATTTTTAATTTAAGTATATTACAAACTTTTAATTTAGACCCTAAAGAATCATATTAGCTTGTACAAAAATGGCATTATATGACCCCTTTAAGAAGCCTATGGAGGAGTGATCTAGCTCTCAGATTTAATCAAAAATATCTTAATTTGTGTTCCGAAGATGAACGAAAGTCTTACGGGGTTGGAACAACATGAGGGTGAGTAATTACTGACAGAATTTTTATTTTGGGGGGAACTAACCCTTTAAAGTTTTTTTTATTTCAAGTGATGAAAATGTTTTGTTATGGTTTTAGATTACGATAAACCAGCTATTCAGAAGAATATTAAATATGACTTTCTTCAAGAAAAAAGGAACTACAAGAGGGTGAATAAATTATGACAAAATGTAAATTTTTGGTATCCCTTTAAAATAGCAGACAATTATGTCTGTGCCCTGAGTCAGAGTTCATCTTTTTCTCCTTCAAAAGAACAGGTGACACCTGTGCCCTTTAACCCACAGTATCCTTTAGGCACCTTGTGCAGATATTGCTGGTGATAGTCTTCAGCATAGTAGAAATCGGTGTGCTCTCGGATCTCTGTGGTGATCTCGCCCAGGCCTTTCCTCGCCAGCGCCTAGCAGAAGAGCAGAGAAAGAGATAGTAAATGATGACACATTCTTGATATCAAGAGGATAAACGTGATTGCTGTCTAGGGAGAAGGGAGAAGCAATTCGATTTGAACTGAAACAACACTTTCTTGTGTGTGAGATGTTAAAGCCATGGTGTCCAAAACTCTTTAAAAGGGACATGGTTGAAGTTCTGTCTCCCTCTAGGGGTCACTTCTGTAAACTCCAACAGCAGAAAATTGCTTTAGGTAGTACTAGTACAAACATAGAGAACAAAACACATTTAAACATCAATCACAGTATTTCTAAAGCTCACATGTCTCTAGAACAGAAAGAAAAGAGGAAAGAATTATTGTGCTGGTTTTTGAGCCATCACAACTGTCCTTTTTGAATTGTATGTAGTTTCAGATCTCAGTCACTAGGTGGCGACATAAGTCTGCTGCATTTACTCCGCTTCTGATTTAATGTCTAACAAATGCTGTATGTGCACCATAACATCCCAGAGACATCCTGACATCCTAACAACAGCCGGGACATAAACAAAACAAAGATACCTGTACAACAGCATAAAGCCAACATTCCCCATATGCTTTGAATTTCAAAATCTTGTCTGTGAAATTAATATTTTTAAAAAAGGCAAAAAGGTGAGAATGATCTTACTGGATTATTACATGGTTGCAACAGTGAACAGGAAGATGAAGAAAAGATTTACCCAGGTGTGTATAAAGAGTGTGTGAGAAAATTATGATTTATTTATAATGTAATTTATAATAATAATTATTATTATCATTACAATTACTCATAAATAAAATGCTGTTATTTTTGGTAAAGAAAATGTTCCGTAAAAAATAAAAATATATTAAATAAATGAATTAATTCAGGTGATTTAGGCATTTTTCTGTGGTTCTAATCTAAAGAGCACATCGGTTTCCTTTTCTTAAATTATGAATTAATTCCTCTGGCACATGTAAAAATATATATTTTTTATTCTTATTTTTTGGGGCTAGGCCTACATTGGCAGGTCAAGTACAAATCTAATGTACCTGGCCTGGATGGGCCAACAGATTTTTTTTATTTTTTATTGTTGAGCCCTGTTTATGACCCTTTAAATTGAGCACATTATTTCAAATAGTGTACATTAAAAGCAGAGGAAGTGTAAATTTGGGGAAATTGTATGTGTGTGTGTGTGTGGAAAAGGTGACAGAAACTTGGCGCTGTCAAAGCTCGGTGGTCTGTGTCTCTCCGGTGGAGGAGAACATTTCTCTGGACAGTCAAGCAAAAAGAGAGAGAGAGAGAGAGAGAGAGAGAGAGAGAGAGAGAGAGAGAGAGAGAGAGAGAGAGAGAGAGAGAGAGAGAGAGAGAGAGAGAGAGAGAGAGAGAGAGAGAGAGAGAGAGAGAGAGAGAGAGAGAGAGAGAGAGAGAGAAAGCGAGGATATGCTTCATGTGACTGATGACTCAACTAATGCCACTAACACAAGAGGGTTTCTGCATCCTTAAACACACTCATGTTATTATTAGTCCAACTATTTTCTGGTGTATATACTGTCTTCAGTATAGCTTTTTCACAACCAGAATTCCCTTAATATTCCCATCAGATTGAATTTAATTTGGGTTTCTCTGTGGGCCATAAACTCACCTTATAAGACTATTTACACACACACACTCACAAATCTGCACATGCGCATGCTAACACACACAGTCCCTGTGTACGTTTAACTGCAACTGCTTGTCCTACTTTTAACATAAATAATGAATATTAATGCAGCTCTTTCTATGAACTAAAAAGCTATGCTGCAAAATATCTGAATATGGAAACTGTGACAGTGTTTTAGCTTAGCTATCTTGTTTATCGTTTCTGCTTTAGACTATAGAGTCTCTGCTAAAAGCTGAGATATATATCAGAAGCTGTAGTTCTGCTGCACAAATAGAAAAGCATGTGTAGGTGTATATATACACATCTGTATGTGTGATTCACTTTAGGCTAAACATTCAAAAGGAGATAGAATAATGTAAAAAAAAAAAAAAAAACAGTGTAAAGGCCAAGGCTGTTCTGTGCATTTATGCACATCTCCACCCATGTTTAGTTTGCATGTAAGCATGAGTGTGTGTGTGTGTGTGTGTTTGAGTCTGTGTGCATGAGATATAGTCAGGAATCCATTTTGTCATACTTGGCTGTTCCTGCATTTTGTGAGAGGGAATAAGACAGCGGAGGGTCATGTGACCTGTGAGAGGAGACAGATCAAAGTGTGAGAGCATGAGCATCTATATGTTTAAGATTACATGACATGGAACAGAGAGAGAGAGAGATTTTGTTTTTAGATAGAGCGCTTTTGGGAACCTGAGCTAGGCATCACTAGCGATTAGCGTTTTGGAAGAGAAACTTGTCTATTTAAGCCAATTACTACTACATTTATGATTATTACATGGTTCTTTTTATTATCAAAATCTGCTAACATGGTCGAAATGATAATTAAATCGTTTTCAATTATTATTAAAGTCAGAACCAAACACCATTCAAAACACATTTGGTTTCCATAAACTGACGTATTTCACAATGAAACAGGATATTCCACCCGAAAAAAAAAAAGGGAAATTGATTAGATTGTGAATTTAATCGGTTAATGTCAGCTAAAAAGAATTTTGCATAAAACTTTTTATTTTGTTTTTACATGGGTTATAAAGGGAACAAACAAAAACATGACTAAAGAAAATAATAACGAAGTAAAAAAAGACGCATATGGGTGCTACATCAATACGGTCTATTCATTTCATAAAAAATGCTTTTTACATAAAAATCTTACATTTTACTAAATTGTATTTTGATAATAAGTATTATGATAACATTTTGAAGTGGGAATAACGATAGCATTGCACAAAAGACGAAAAATATAAATATTCTAATACATAATGTAAATTTTGACTTTAAAATGATTTTTTTATCCCATTTGTGCATAGCCTTTTTCTTTAAAAAAACCCTCATCTCTCCACATTATTTGATATGGGCCATGAAAAGAACATAACATATCCATTATAAATAAATAAATGAATAAAATGTTGATGTCTGCACCATAACACAAGCAGATAAACAAAGAAAATTCATAAACTTCCATTCAAATCCCCAAAATAACTCCTCTGAGAAAGTGCTTCACTGCAGCAGAATTGTACCTCCACTCTCTCTTCCTGCGTCTCGCTCTCTATCACTACTGAATAAAAACTCTTTGATGTTCTGCAAATTCCTACATTTTATTACAGCACCCCTCCCGTCCTCTCCTCATCCACGGCATTTAAAAGAGCGTTTCTTCCTCTCCCACTCCTGCTTTTCCTTCTCCCTGACTGCCCTCACTGATGGCAGAGTTTTGAGAGACTCTGATGGAGTGCAACTCTCAACGGGTGCTAATAATTCATTTCCTGTCTGCATGTGATGTCGGTGTCTGATTCATCACCTGAGTTTGACCTGATGGAAGAGTCCTCAAAAAGGCCTCATCAATCTCTTCACACTCATCACGTCTGTCTTTCATTTCACTGTCCCTCTTTAAAATGTTCACTATCCACTGCGACACAATCAGTTGTGCTTTTCCGTAGTATGACGAACACGAACACACACGCACATTCCTCAATATTTTAACAAGACTCTGGGCTAACATGTCTAATCTCATCACTGCTGCTTATGTAACCAAGCTGCTCTTCGAAACCACTTCAGATTTGCTATGCCCTCAGAGACAAAAAGGATCAGGAGAGAAGCACAAGCATCGACTGCTGGGAAAAGCTATAAAGTCTAGGAGATGTGTCGCACTTTTAATAAACATATTTAAAATAGATTTCATGCAATCCAGAGCCATTCGTTCCATACAAAAGGCCTTCAGGTTTCAGGTCATATCACCTACTGTACAACTTCACGTGCCATATTGAATTTCTACAATCATTTATTTGTAATACTATTTACACAATAGTTCTTTACTATCAACACCAGTTCTCGTATATAATCATATTTCATGAGTTCACATCTACATATAATTATTATGGTTAAGGTTATGCGTACTTGGAGGGCTCCGAGCTCGGAATTTCTGCCCGAACCCAGAGTACTCCCCCCGTTGGTAAGAGTAGATGGAACTAAAGTGAGGAGATGGGGTGGAGGTGGGATGCTGATAAACTGTCAAGGAACAACGGTGGGTTCTGCTGTTATTTATCCTATTCTGAGTTGATTACAGATTGAACTCCACTTGTGCTAATTGGGTTAATTATCTGCACCTGCTCCTCCCAAACCTTGTTAATAAAACATCATATCGATCATTATTTAGGCAACATTTTTGTTTTTGTTTTTATTCATCAAGGACGCATTAAATTTATCAAAAGGGAAATAAAACAATATTTCTGTTTCAAATAAATGCCGTTCATTTGAACTTTCTAATCAAAGAATCCTGAAAAAAGTATCACCGTTTCAACAAAAAAATATTAAGCAGCACAACTGTTTTCTCCATTAATAATAATAAGAAATGTTTCTTGATCACCTAATCAGCATATTTAGCACATTACATAACACTGACTTCAAGTAATGACTGCTGAAAATTCAGCTTTGCCATCACAGGAATAAACTATTACTAAAATATTACTTTTATTTCCTGTATTTTTGATCAAATAAATGCAGCCTTGGTGAGCATGAAACAAAACAATGGATATATATATAACTGCATGTCTGTCCAATTCATCCATGTATTCTCCTTTCTTTATTTAGCAAGAACACTTTAATACACATACAATTTAGTTGGTCCATTTTAACCCCTGCTTACATGCAGTTTGTGGGGTGCACCCCCTAGTCCTCACTACATCTGTGTGTGTGTTCATTTAAGCTTGTGGGGTCACTAGGGCCATCAACAGCATGTCCGTTTCGGTCCCCTGATCTGATTGCGTCCCTTTAACCACAGCTGCCTCCCGCAAGCCTGACCTTTCACCCCTGATGCGCACAAGGCCAAGGCCAAGAGGGGTCACCCAACCTTTCTGCCACCGCCTCATTCCCCTCTCACCCAAATCACATCTGAGCCCTAGAAGCAAGACAGATGACACGAGGAGCAAAGCGTACCACGGTGATGTTTCCCCAAGCTCCTGCATCTCACAAAACAAAGCATCATCACGCTAGTTCGACAGGCTAACAGTCCAGACAATCAGATGAGCAGCGTTCATGAGCATCCACAAACGCATCTTTCTGACAGGTGTGGGCGGTCAGTGTTTGACAGTGGACAGTTTGAGAGAGGCAAAGAATCGAAAAGAGAGGACAGAAGCGCTTCTGGAGATGTGGTGGGGAAGAAAAAGCAAATCATTGGCTAAATCTGTGGTTATATGTAAATTACTGTTTAGGGTTGGTATTTATTTTTATTTTTTTACATTTCTCACCAAGGCTGAGTTTTGGTTTCTCACCATTTATTTGATAAAAAATACAGTAAAACTACAATAAAAAAAAACATTTGTGAAATATTATTATAATTTAAACTAACTTTTTCTATTTTAATGTATTTTAAAATGTAATGCACATGTAATTCAAATGTAATTAATTCCTGTGATGGCAAAGCTGAATTTCAGCATCATTACTCCAGTCTTCAGTGTCACATGATCCTTCAGAAATCATTTAAATATGCTGATTTGCTGCTCAAGATACATTTCTTATTATCAATGTTGAAAACAGGTGTGCTGCTTAATATTTTTGTGGAAATCATGACACATTTTTTTTCAGGATTCTTTGATGAAAACAAAGTTCAAAAGAACTGCATTGCATTTATTTGAAATATAGATCCTTTGTAACAAATGTCTTTACTGTCACTCCTGAACAATTTAATCCATCCTTGCTTGATACAAAAATTAAGTACATTCAAAAATAGAAAAATAAATCTTACTGGCCACCAATGTTTTGAACGATAATGTACTTAATTGCTCACGAATGCCCCCTCTAATACATCATTTAGAAAAATTACATGAATGAGCACTGTATGTACAAAACTGTCCCCTAAAGTTAGCAAAATCTAATAAAAAAATCTCCCTTTGGGGACATTCTCAAATGTAAAAATAATTATTAAATATTTTTTTTTATAAAAATGCAAAAAGTTATCTTCTAGGGCTTTTTGTACAGCAATTATATTTAACTTTATATAAAAACAATAAAAGTCTATGATATGTCCTTATTTTAGCTAAGTAATATCTTAATAATCATAGTAAATAGTAATAAATAACAGAATCCTAATGAAGGGTTTGAAGGGGCTAGTGTTAGGGGTTATTAAATATCATTAACTCATTATAAAATCAACAGAATTCAATGTAAAGTTTGTGTGTGTTTCGAGATACTGCACCTCCTGGTACATATGCTTGCTCATCATGGCCAGCTCTTGCTGTTCTGGGCTGTAGGTGTAGATGGCAGAACGGTACTGTGTGCCATGGTCATTCCCCTGTGCCATTCCTAAAAAATACACACACATATACATGCTTTAGACCCATTTAAAATCTCACACCTCAAGAATTTGCAGTCATGTCAGACACACTGGATATGTCAATATTTTTAATGATGTTTCTAACATTAGCAAGCAACATTCGATTCTACTGTGATGTTACTGAAAGAAAGAAAAAAGTTAAAAAATGTAAAAATATAGCAGTCTTGGAATCATTTGCCCCTTGTTAATATATGGAAAGCTATTTGTGTTTCAGTACATTCCTGTCATTTAACCTACACAGTGAATTTACTGTCTCTCATCCATCTTTCCGTAGAACTGGATGTCGGCCATCTTGCTGTGCGCTCTCTACCGTGTGGTGCCTTCTGTAGCTCTCTCTCTCTTCAAAGGCCAAAACACTGCGTTCTGATTGGCTGGTCCTACAAAGCCAAAGGGACAGTCACTGACCTTCCTCGTGACCCTGAGGCCTGTGTGTCATCACTGCCGCCAAACACATCATACAGCCAAATTATAGAAAATGTTTCTAGAAAGAAGTATTTGCACACTTAATTAGCACTTACAAATGTCTGAATGCCACTGCACAGACCACAATATCAAATCAAACATTTACAATCTGATTTTTCTGAGACATTTTTGCAATGTCTTTTAAACATCTAGTAGATCTACAGTCAGTTCCCCACAAGTTAACATAGGTGTACACAGAATTAACTATGGAAATAATCCACTAACGTTTGACAACCAGAGACCACATACCTTCAGTCTGCATTTTGAATAGTATTCCATACCGTTCAAAAGTCTGGGGTTGGTACGATTTTTTAATGTTTTTGAAAGAAGTCTCTTATCCTCACAAAGGCTGCATTTAGCATTTTCAAAAATACAATACAAGTAATAATATTGTGAAATATTATTACAATTTACAATAGCTGTGTTCTATGATGGTATATTTTATGTAATTTATTCCTGTGATCAAAGCTGAAACATCAGTATCATTACTACTGTCTTCAGAGTCACATGATCCCTCAGAAATTATTCTAATAAGCTGATTTGGTGCTCAAAAAACATTATTATTATCAATGTTGAAAACAGCTCTGTTGCTTAGTATTTTAGTGGAAACCAGAAATTTTGTTATTTAATGAAATGGCATTCAGACATTTTTAAGTGAAGTTTAAGTGCCCACATACTTTTTAGGGCCACTGTATATCAAAACCCTTTTTAAAAATTTCTCTCTTCTCACATGAGTAAAAAAAAAAAAGAGTTAAAAACAAAAAGGAAACAGCGAGCACTCAATGTACTCCACCCGAGACAGTGGAGCACTTCTTTTTACAGCCTCCATCACAGCGCTTAGTTATTATTGATGATCCTCCATGTTCAAGCTGAATAATATACAGAATCTCTCCTCTCAACACACACACACCGCACATGAACGGTGAGTAGAGAACGCTGCAAATGTGTTGTCAGCGCACAAACAGGGTGAGAGCGGAGAGCTGGGCAGAAGCTGACTCCATAAATGTCACACGCAGTCTCTCTCTCCCCATAACACGGCTCTCCCGCAGGAAAACTATTTCTGTTAATGCAGAGGTCAAGAAGCTTCACCCTTTGCTTTAGAAGGAGGGAAGAAAGGAAAGATTTACTATGTGTACTTGTGAGTGAATAAGCTGTACATGCACGTGAAAGCGCGCGCGCACACACACACACACACACACACACACACACACGCAAACACAGCATCATCCTGACAGAGACCAATCCTCTAAGGATGCTTTGACCAATCCAGACATTTCAAATATCAGCACTTATGTGGCTTCTCCTGGTGGGATGACGAGGAAGGAGGGGAGAAAAAAATAAAAGATTTGGAAGGGTGGATGAAAAGGAAAAGATGAAAAGGGCTTGAGGACAGTAGTTCTCAAGTTACAAGTAAGAAACACAGATGTGTCATTGTTTATTCACCTTCATGTTGTTCCATAATAGATGTCAATGGTTACCAAACCTTTTTGGTTAACTATGAGAGTTTGGTTCCAAAACGCAATAAATCCATTTAGATTAATTTGAGTAAAAATGTGTTTTCTTTACCAAGAAAGTGGAAAGATAAAAACCACTATATTCTGTTTCAAACTTTCACATAGCATTTGTAGGTCATAATAACAAAACAAAAATGAAATCCAGGTTTTGATTTTTTAAAGATTTATTATAAAAACGGATTATTTTTTTCCCCAAAATGCAATAAATCCTTTTTTTTATTTTTTTAAATCAAAATGCAATTAATCCATTGAATCAATATAAAAGTTGATTTTTCATATTGAACATTTTTTCATATTGAAACTGTTGAATATACACAACAACGTAAGTTTATTAGTATAATATTTTTATTAAGAACTGTAAAGAAGATTGAAAACATTTTTCCTCCTCCCGAGTGCCTCATCTTCTTAATCTCCTCACGTAAATTATTCAATTTCGATGCCTTACGTTTCTTACCCACCGCAGAAACAACCACAGGTTCATCAATGCCGTCAAAATTATTAATTTTTTGTTTGTTTGTTGATCTAAAAGTACAAAATAGATAAGAAAAACTAGGAAGCAGGGTGTATTTAAGGCGCTGCCGTTACTGTTTACATGGTGCGTTGTGATTGGTTGAGAGCGGATATATCGCATTCTGCAGAGAAGGGAGACTGGCGTTTGTCGCGGTTTGGAAAGAAAGGGAGAAAACATGACAGAATAACACGGCGGATATCGCATTTTACTTAAAATTAAACATTGACTTTTCAATACCAACCAGATACAATACTGATTTTTGCAGTAACTAATTTAAATAAATAAAAAAGGCGTTTATCGCGTTTCGGAACCATATAGGCCTACAATTATTCAACCCCCATTGCAAATCAGGTTTATTGGCAAAATTTACAGACTTTCAGCTGTTTGCAATGAACAAATCAAACAAAAGTTATTGAAATAGCTCAACACAACAAATGTTTCAAGTGGTTTCCCCAAATTCAACTGGAAAAGCAACTTTTAATGACTTCTGCAGTCTCAAAACTATTCAACCCCTTCATGGCAAGCATCTTTAGTACTTAGTAGAACACCATTTTGCAGTTATGACCTGATGTAAACGAGAGGTGTAACCAGACACCAGCTTTTGGTAGCGTTTCTGAGGAATCTTAGCCCATTCCTCATGAGAAATGGCCTCCAGTTCAATAAAATTCTTGGTTTTGCATGTTGCAACCGCCTTCAAATCCCACCGGATATTTTCTATGGGGTTCAAGTCAGGTGACTTTGATGGCCACTGTCTTCCAGGACTTCTTCTGCAACCAAGCCTATATTCTTGGGATCATTGTCCCGTTGGAAGGTCCAATGATGCCCAAGCTTCAGCTTCCTCACTGACGGCATGACGTTTTTCCTGACACTTAAATTAATCCATCTTGCCTTCCACACGCTGCAGGTTTCCAGTGACAGAAGAAGCAAAGCAGCCCCACAGCATCCCGAGCACAACCATGCTTAACTGTCGACAGAGTGATTATTTTAGCATATGCTTTTCAATTCGTGCATTCGCTATCTTTTTGTATCCGGTTCCTTGTTTGTGAGGGGCGATATCATCTTCTCTTAATTTTTTTTAACCATTCTTTTGCCATATTTCTAACATGCAGTCAATTGTGACACTCAACAAACCCAGCCAGTTCAGATATTTAATGTGTTTTAGCTCAAGAACACCTGATGCAACTAATGAAGCCCTTGATTGGTTGCATCAGGTGGGCCTGAGACAACACCTGTTTTGCAGATTTGTGCTGTTGTGAGGGATTCTATTCAGGGGGTTGAATAATTTTGAAACTGCAGAAGTCATTAAAAGTTGCATTTTCAGATGAATTTAAGGAAACCCCTTCACACATTTGTTGTGTTGAGCTATTTCAATTACTTTTGTTTGATTAGTTCATTGCAAATAGCTGAAAGTCTGTAAGTTTCGCCAATAAACCTAATTTGCAATGGGGGTTGAATAATTTGGATTACAACCGTATTTATATCTTGAAAATATATTATTTTGTGTTCCAAAGAAAAAAGTCATACAGGTTTGGAACAACATGAGGGTAAGAAAATGCTGACAGAATTTTACAGGAATTGTTCCCCCCAAAAATTCCATCATTCCCATGAACTCTTATCATAAACTATAATTTTAAAAAGAATCTTCACATAGATCTTTTCCATAAAATGACAGTTAATTTTAGTTTACGGCCAATAACTTTATTTAAGAATTCAAAAATATAATCCTTAAATACCAAATCAATTATCAGCCTCTATTTTTTTAATGATTTTATTTTTACAAGATTTTTTAATTTCAGTACTGGTTGATGATTATTAATTATAGTACTTTATAAAACAGTATAATTTAATAATGCAGTTAAATATATTCTTCAGCAAATCTCAAAACAGAAAAAAACTTTTCATACTGTGCATTATACTGCTGTGATGTCTAAATTCACTTGTAGCATTTTAAAACGACTGATTTAACTTTTCAAACCAGTACAGAATTTTGAAATTGGCCATTTATCCGTAATCAGAAGAACACAAATTACATGGTTCACTTTTATGGTGAATCTTGTTGCGTTTGAAACAACAAGAAGATGAGTTAGAAATCACAGATTTTTTTATTTTGAGGTGAACTATCTCTTTAAATTAAAATGGTGAACATCAGCAGTGTGGCTGGATTATGAAGCCCGTGGACTGACTCCAGAGATCTCTCCACGTCTTTCAAAAGCTACATTTTCACTGTCATACAAAATGTCAATCATGTGTCATGGCTCCAAATCTCAGTCGGATGGGTTTATTGCTTTACGCTTTTTGCGTTTCGACGACCGAAGTGCCTCTCAGTGTCTGCGGATAAAACAACTTATTCTAACCAATGTAAGGCTCAAATGTAAGCCAACAATAAGACACACAAACAGTTTGGCTATTGTGTGTTTGTTTACTAAGCTGATGGAGAATGTCCATATGTGTTTGTAAAGGTGCACGTGTGATGCTTTAGCAG